GCATGGGAGTAGTGAAGATGGCCAGAGTTAGACTAGGCTGAGAATGTGAGCAGCAGTGTCTAAGGAGGGAGGAGGGGGGAGACCGCCTGGGCTAGGTGACAGGCCTTCTCTTTGCCAGCCCTCTCTTTCTGAGAGTCCCCCCCCCCCCCCTCCCCCAGTATAAGCCATTACTGCTTGTGAATATTCCGTTAAGAAGCCAAGGCTGTATCATTTCAGCCAGCCTTGGGTTCTGAGTGGAGGCACTCCCTGTCTCTTCCTGTAATTTCGAGGGTTTAGGACGTTCGCTTTTTTATCTTGGTTATTGCTGTTGATCATCACCTAGAATCCTCCAGGACCAGGCTGTCAAGGAATAAACAGTAAATAAAATATTGCTGTCCAGAAAACAGTGGAGAAGTGACTCACAGGAGATTTTGCAGAACGCAAAGCGATAGGAGGGATTTGATAAAGAGGCTTCATCTAACTTGGGTTTAAAAAAGAGGACAGGGCATTTAGTGAGTGCCAGTGGGAATGTTTGTGGGATGCTTGGAGTCCACCTGGGTAAGGCTTCCCCAGCTGGCTGCCTCCAGGAATGGTGGAATTGCGTGCATGTCTGCATTTTTTAAAATAACTGTTAAGCATGAGTCACCTTACAGTCAGAGCTGGCCGGGCAACTTACACAATCAAAACAGGACATGGAATAAAATCGGTCGCTCCAGAAATGCGGTTGCTGTAGTATGGAACGACCAAAATACACCAGGCTAAAATTACAACAAAGCCATACATCCATCGAGCTCTAAAAGATGTCAAAATGGCTCACTGCGGACATTTGAATGTAATATGTTGGGATATCACTGGGCATTTCAGTGCAGGGTGTTAAGATGAGGAGAAAGAGTTCAGAAATTAGCAGGGGGGGGTTCATCGATTAGAAGAGGCCGTCTTTGGAAAGGTTCCCCCCTTCACTAACCATGGCCAAATCTCAGCATTGGGGGCAGGGGATGCTTGGTGTAGCAGCTCCAGTGTACCTGTGTCTTTGTGAGAGGAACATCTGGAAGGGACGGCCTTTCAGATGTTTTGGCTAAGGACCTTGGTAAGCGTCTGTCCTCCCAACTAGGTTCCACCCTTCTTGGTTTACGTGACCTGGGTTTCCTAGGCCCCACCCTGTCACCGCCCCTGAGTCTTTGCAGCTGGACCTCCAGAATTGAAAGGAGAGGCCTGTGGGTGAAGGAGTGATGCTGATGGCCCAATCTGGGCAGGGTCCCCGGGCTTGGGCCAGGATCTCTGGGCACATTCCTGACTTAGGTCCGCCCTCTTTCTCCTCCTCGGTGTCACGGCCATGTGCTTATATTTGAAAATAAACACGCCCATGTCATCTTGAAGTCACTCCGGCATTTCATAACCTCAGCGCTGCGCGTGGAACATTTTCTTCCTGGCTGGCTTGAGAGATCGCACAAACAGCTGGCTGGGTGCCCTGCCTCCATACAAGTGTGCGGTCTCCTCCTTCTCTCGCCTCCCTCTGCTCAAGCAAGGAGACAGTCGGAGGTCCTTGGGGGGTGACGTTGTCCTCAGCCCCTTTGCAAGAAGGCCAGATAGCAACTTGACCAGGCCTTGTTCCACACAAGCGGGTGTGACTTCTGAAGCTGTTCAAGGCACAGGAGGTAAAACAGGGCATTGTCCTTTCCATTAGCAGGACCTTGATGAATGGGGTGTCCTTGTTTCTGTGCGTTGTTTTCAAACTGGCTGCCTAGGGGAAAGGCCCTTGTCCCGGCGCTGAAGTTTGACATGAGTTTTGTAAAGCTGGGGACTGTTTCCTGGGCCCTTCTTAACAAGCAGCTGCTGTATGGATGCGTGTGTTCGTGCTGGGGCCTGTGAAGGAAGAGCAGCTCTCTTCCTGGTGTAATGCACAGGACAGTTATGGAGGGTTGCCTTTCGGCAGCATGTGTGCGAAGGCTCAAAATGCTCAACGTTTTTCCTCTTGTTTGCAGACTTTATCTTCAGAGCACCCATCACGTTGGCCAAGCACGGAGAAGTTCATGAGGAATATAAAAGCCACTTGCGAAAGGTACGCTATGCAGGATATATCACTACAACTTAGCTTTCCGAGCCAATGGCTCCCAAGGTTGAAAGTTGTTTGTACAGCAGCCCCTCCATCTCCCCGAGGTGTACATGCTAGTGGTTGTTACGTGCTTGTAGAGCAGTTCTCAATACTGTAATTGACCAACTCAGTTGCCCAAAAGATGCTTCTTTTACTTCCGTTGGAAGTGTTCAAGGCACACTCGTGCGTGTCCCTGAACTCTGTATGCTCTTCCCCGAAGAGAGAATAGCGTAGCTGCCTCCACCCAACTCTGGGGCACAAGGAATGAAGTGCAAATAATGCCTTTCACGGCACCATTTAGCTTTAAAGAAATACTTGTGTTAGTCTATTGCGGCAAAATAACAAAAGGATTTTATGGCACTTTAAAGACCATAACTTTGAAAAATATTGCTTTATCTACACCTTTTTTTCCCCTTTCACTATTGCTTTAGTTGTATTCTACTTAAATTGGTATAATAAATATTTTTCTCTTTGTTTTATTAAATAAAGGTAAAAAAGACTACATATTTATTATTGCATCCACTTTTCTGATTTATAGTCCATTTCGTGGCACTTAGCCCTGAAAAAGGAAGATTATATATCTGTACAGTGGTGGCAGGGAACAAAACAGTAAATAGAGAGGTGGGAAAAAGAGGGAATTACTTATGACCATAAGCAAAGCAGCAATTGGGTGTTACTGTTGAGTAGCTAGTTAACATATAGGTAGTCCTTGCTTAATGACCATTTGTTTAGTGGCTGTTCAAAGTTATGATGTCACTAAAAAAAAAGTAACTCGTGACTGGTCCTCACACTTACGACCATCACAGTGCCTCTCTGGTCACATGATTGTGATCTGGGCACTTGGCAACCTGCTTGCCCTTACGATGGTTGCAGTGTCCCGGGGTCACATGGTCACCATTTGCGACCTTCCCAGTCAGCTTCCGGCAAGCAAAATCAATGGGGAACTACGTGATTTGCTTAAACACCATGTGATTCGCTTAATGACCACCACAAAAAAGATCATAAAATCGGGTGCGGTCACGTGATGCCTCGCTTAACAGCCATCCCACTTAACGAATTTTCTGGCCCTTATTGTGGTCGTTAAGTGAGGACTACCAGTACTGTGATAAGAAAGCTTGGCCTTTAATCCCTTAAAAACAGTGCTGAATTTTCTAATGAATTCTTTTTTTTTTTTTTTTTTT